TGGTTTCTGGTGGTGGTTAGTGTTGGTTTCTGGTGGTGGTTAGTGTTGGTTTCTGGTGGTGGTTAGTGTTGGTTTCTGGTGGTGGTTAGTGTTGGCTTCCAGTGATGATTAGTGTTGGCTGCAGCTTGACGGCCGGAGAATCACTGAGAGATGGGCTGCTGAGCCTGTAAGGGATTGTCCTGATTAGGTTAGTTGATGTAGGAAGACTCATTAACTATAGCCGGGCTGATCCCCTGGTGGAGATCCCAGACTGCAGGAAATGGAGAAAGATCTGAGCACCACACTCATTGTTCTCTGCTCCTGGCTGTGGACGCAGGAAAGCAGCTGTCTGGAGTCCCTGCTGTGCCTTCCTCTCCACGGTGGGCTTCAACCTCCAAACTAAGACATTTCCCTTAAAAGTGAGGGATTCCAGAGAGGAGAGAGGGCATCTAGACACAGCCATAGCGTTTTAAAACATTACTATAGATCCCATATCCGTCAGTTTTGTGTGATTGGGTAGAAGTAGAGAGAGAATTCCACAGGAACATAGATGGCAGAAATTAGGGACCATTTGAGGCTAGTTCAGAGGTACCCACCACAGGTCTCCAAAATACCTGGTGTGGTCAGAGCATCTCAAGAAACAAATTTCCAAGTGACTTTGGAACCTTGCCACATGCTTCCTTCTGCTCTAGGAAGGCATAGCAGTTTAGTACAGAACTCTGAAGTACATAACATACCAGTAAATTAATTTGCTTTCTAGTAACCTGCAGTTACATGTTCTTTTTATTGTTTTATTTGCTTCTTAAAATAATTAGCTTTTGTATTAACCACATATGGCACTTAATGCAAAAATCATGACATTTATTAATAGTTAACATTAACACATTGTGCTGAGTTTGGAAAGGAATACATTGTCAGTTGATATCTATAGATTGTCTGAAAACAGTGCCTATCTGAAATAAAGTAAAGATCACAGGCCTAAGGGACAAAGTCTTTCTGTTGTCAGCAAATTATTTTTAGAAAGCATTTGATTTCAGGGACTTTTAGGACCTTGAGTGAATTATGAATATATTAACTGATATGTCCAACCTTTTATCTCATAAAATAAATATAAAATTCAAGGTTTAGGGAACATAAAATTCTTTTTAAAGTAATTTTATTTTTAAGAACTCCACACATAAACACTGACTGCATTGATCATGTCTGACCCACTCTCCCCCTCCAGCTTCTCTCTCCTCCAAACTCATGACCTCTCCCTTATTGTTATATGTATATACATACATATGTATATACAACCTGCTGAGTCCATTCAGCATTGCTCATTTGTGTCCAGTGTTGGCCACTGGGAGGCAACTGTGCTGTTTAGTGTTCATAGGTGCAGGTCCCCTGGCACACAGAAGACCCTCTCAGCGGGTGTCCCCTCTGGCTCTGCCGTCTTTCCACCTCCTCTTCCGTGACTTTCTGAGACGCAGATGTAGGGTGTGTGCAGATGTATTCATTAGACTTGGGCCCAGGGACTTTGTCTATATTTTGACGATCTGTGGATCTCTGTAAGTCTCCACCTGTTGCAAAAAGAAACTTCTTTGGGAACACAAAAGCCTCAAAGAACCACACTGTCATATTTCATGAACTCCCAGGGACAATTCCTTTCAATTTTGAATTCTTGTTTTGAGGCTCATGGCCTTGATCTCATGTTCCTTCACAGAGAACTTAGCTTGCTGGTTCCTCTCCAGAAGGCAAGAATGTGGCTCCCTGGGAATGGGGGTGGGGGTGTCTTCCTGATTGCTTCTGTGGTTCCTTGTTAAGACTTCAGTGTTGATACATTCATTCCCACAGCCACTTACCTGCATACTGTGAACAGTGGATGAACTCTGAAAAAGAGTTTTATGTATTTAGAATCTCTGTTGTTAGGTGCCTATGTGTTTGGAGTTATTTCCTTTTGCCTAAAATGAGGTGAGAGTGACATTTGGAAGCCGTTACCTGATGTAAGTTTCAGGTAAAAAGTAAGCATTTTTTTTTTATGTTATTTTGATTTGGGAAAATTACGGAAAAATAACAGAATAATAAAAGCATATAGAAAATACATTTTAATTCATCTGAATATATCCATGTAGCTTGATACAAACACCTTCATATTTCCCATCTTAATGAAATACAATATCTAAATAAAATTAATTATGTCACTGATGTAGTGGACTTGTTGACTTTGGCTGCTCTTGTAAGCAGTGGGTTTTTGGTTTGACGGTGTGTTGTTTATTATTCAGGACTAACAACCACTAAGCACCTTCCACTTTTGCCCTAATTCCACTCACATATTTCTACAGTGCTTTTAAGCCTGTGCTGTTTGTTAAAATTGCAAATAGGTTGCAAAGCATGCATGTGTGTCCATCAAAGCGGAAGGATCTTCTTGTTCTTCTAGGTGTTTGGGATCCTTAAAGCGCCTTTCAAAGAGAAGGCAGGAGAAGGCTCGATGCTGAGGCTGGAGGACCTGGGTGACCAGCGCTATGCCCCCTACAAGTACGTGCTGCGGCTCTGCTACCGCGTGCTGAGGCATTCGCAGCAGGACTACAGGAAGAACCAGGTGGGTCCGCGCCTGAGCACGAGAGGTCTTGGTTAAAGTGTAGACTGAAGAGGCGGAAATTGGACTTTGCAAGGACCGGCTTTATGCGAGCAGCCCAGAGAACATTTGTGAGGACAGTTGAGCTGAACAGGTGCTTGTTCTGAAGTGTTATACTTGCAGGGATGCTGCTTACCTGCACATGGTCCCAGCGTCTGCTGAGCAGGTTCTTGGGAGGTGCAGCCTTGCTCCGAGCACACCGACTAAGATATCTCTTTTGGCCAAGATCCAACATGCACCTGAAACAGAAGGGTCTGAGGGGAGGGGTGGGGTGGGTGTGCAGAGGAATGATATGCTCAGGGGTTGGGGAGCTCTGGAGAGTGGGAGCCATCTGCAGGACTGTAGGGGAACAGGCATTTTATGTAGACAGAGTAATCGGATTGGATACCTTTCTTCCCTGTGACCAAATTCCTGACAAGAAGAAACTAGAGGGCTTCTTTGGACCCACAGTTTGAAGGTGTTCAGACTATCATGGAGGGCAAAGCACATAGCAACCCCTGGCCTCTTGGCAGAACAGGAAGCTAGAACAAACAGATTGGGTTATAAAACCTCAAGGCACGCCCACCCCTAGTGACCCACTTCCTCCAGGGAGTCTCTGCCTGAAGGCTCAGCCTTCCACAACTCTGCCCCCTGCTGGGGACCAAGTGTTCAGACTGTGAGTCTATGCAGCTGGGCAGGACGAAAGAGTGAGGATTTTGGAAAGGCTGCCATGGTCCAAGGGCAGCCTGAGCTGTGGAGGACAGGCGTGGCCTATGTTGGTCTAGGGATTAGCCAAAAGCTGTAATCTGCTAGTGAAATTATTTCAAGTCTCACTTTGTCTTAAAAATATGTAATAGAGTTTGGAAAGATGTCTCAGTGCTAAGCACACTGGCTTCTTTTCCAGAGGACCTGGGTTCAATTCTCAGCACTCACAGGCAGTTTAATGTCCTGCTGAAACTCCAGGCCCGGGGGATCCAATGTCTCTTTCTTCTGGCCTTCGTTGGCACTGAAGTCACATGGGTGTACATACATACATACAGGCAAAACACAAACACACACAAAATACAGTCTTTAAAAATTTGTAATATTTTGCATTGGGTTTAATGATGCAAATGTTTGACATAAAGCTACATTATTGATCACCTGGCATTTTATTCATGTATTTCTTGTCTAGTAGAAGGATCTGTGTATAGCTGGTGGTTTTTGTTCTTTTTTGTTGTTGTTTGTTTTTTTGAGCAGTGTTTCTTTGTGTAGCCCTGGTTGTCCTAGAACTCATTCTGTAGACCAGGCTGGACTTGAACTCAGAGTTCCGCCTGCCTCTGCATCTCAAGTGCTGGGATTAAAGGTGTGTGCCACCAATTGCTGAGTTTAGTTCATGAGGGCATATGGCTTTGAGAGAGGACTGGGAGGAAGGACCTGAGATTCAGGGCTCAAGGTGACTGATGAGGAGGTGGATGGTGTTAGAGACAAGCAGGCAACGCTCAGCATGCACTCACTTTGTTTCAAGCTTAACGGTTTTCACAAATCAACTCAGTTTAAATAGTATTGAGTTAAGATAAGGGACAGAGACTGAGAAGCCAAGGGAGACACTCAAACTTAGTGTTTTTTGTTTGTTTTCTTTTTTCTTTTCTTTTCTTTTTTTTTGCATTGGGGAACAAACTTGGCACCAGCTGGGCACCATGACTTGGCTCTACCGTCAGCTGCCAGGCTGTAGTTTTAAGAATGGACCCAGTGTGTAAACTCAGGTTTTGAGTTATTTCCCGAGAGCTTGAAAGTGTTTTGGCAAGAAAACATTTTTTTTTTCTTCATGAAGAATGTGTTAAAATATGTTGGCTTTGGAATTCAGCTTCAGATTAAGAAAGGTCAAAAAAGAATATGTAGACAGATTAGCTAGATAATAAATAATATGTCAAGAAGCAGGAACAAACTGACAGTTTAAACAGGCCTAAGCATATTATGTACTTAGGTACATGCCATATAATATGTAATAGGCATCTCTAATACATCTTGGTGATGAACCTAGTTCTTTCTGGCTGAAATGCTGCTGCAGGGTCATACTTCCAGTTTCACTACATTCCAGTAGGATGGCAGTGTAGAGCGTGGCGTTCCTGTCTCCCCAGGAAGGACGTAGATCCAGAACTCTCTTCAGGCATTCGGGGATGTAGCACTGGAGACATCCTGCACAGCACCTGCCTGGCTGAGCACAGGGTCAGTGGAGAGGCAGCTGGGCAGGTTCCACTCCTGCCCACTCCTCTTCTTGGGTTCCCTGAACTAGTTACTTGTCTTGTAGCTGTGATCAAAGCCTGTCAAGGAGCCACAGAAGGGAGTGTTGTTTATCTGGGCTCAGTTTGAAGGCATCATGGCAAGGAAGACCTAGCAGCAGGTGACGTTGTGGTGGTGACAGCATAAGACAGTGGCTGGCACACATCTGGCACCTGGAGCTCAGAGCACAGGGTGGGGGTCTGCCCTGAAAGCACTCATTTTCCTGCCAAGCAAACACATTTGAGCATGTGCATATACATGCACACATATAGTCACCTGCCTGGGTAGATATTTACATGCTCTCTAGATTCCCTGCAGTGTGCCACTGTGGGTGATCTACTCCTTCCTTCCTCTCCCTCCCCTCCCCTCCTCTCAAGAGCTAAGTCACTGATCTGACCAAGAAACAAGGACTCCTGGGTGCTTACTGAGAGTCAAGTCCCTGCAGAATCTCATTGACTCTAAGCCATGGCTGGAACCTCTTTTTTCTGTTCTGTTGAATTAAATATGTGTGCATTTGCTCAGACCCAAATGGGGTCATCTCTATCATCCCCAAAGACCCAGGGACCATTTCAGAACAGGGGTGGGAAGATTGTAAGAGCTAGAGGCCGGTCGGTATAGGAGGCCTGAGAACTGCTGCCTTCTGGATAGGACATGATGTTGAATTCATGAGCACACAGCAGCTGTGGCTACCTGTCTATACAGCCAGCGCCTACAAACGGACGACAGGCCTCCACAGAGAAACCCTGTCTCAAACAAAACAAAACAAAACAAAACAAAACAGACAGGCCTAATTGGCAGGAAGATGTTCAGCTTTCTATGGCCCCATGTTGGAATGCCAAAGTGTGCTTGGTTGTTTTCACTCTTTTGGGGCCACCTCCCAGCTTCCAAATAAAACACACATGGAAGCTTATTCCGGCATTTATTTACTTATTTATTTAGTTTTTTTGAGACAGGGTCTCTCTATGCAGCTCTGGCTATCTTGGAACACCCTCTGTAGACCAGGCTGGCCTTGGACTCAAGAGACCCGAATGCCTCTGTCTCCCAAGTGCTGGGATGTAAGGCATGTGCCATTACTACCTGGTGGAGGCTTATTCTTAATTGTAAATGCCTGGCCTTGGTTTGGCTTGTTTCTAGCCAGCATTTCTTAACTTAAATGATCTCATCTACCTTTTGCCTCTGGGCTTTTGCCTTTCTCTTTCTTCTGTAATCTTACTTTCACTCTTACCCCATGGCTGGCTGGGCGGCTGTGTGGCTGTGTGGCTGGGCGGCTGGGCGGCTGTCTGGGCAGCTGTGTGGCTGCGCGGCTGTCTGGGCGGCTGGGCGGCTGGGCGGCTGGGCGGCTGGGCCCTGGAGTCCTCCTCCTTCCTCTCTTGTTCCTCAATCTTTTCTTTTTTCCTCCCAGATTTCTCCTATTTATCTTCTCTGCCTGCCAGCCCCACCTATCCTTTCTCCTGCCTTGCTATTGGCTGTTCAGATCTTTATCAGACCGATCAGGTGTTTTAGACAGGCACAGTAACACAGCTTCACAGAGTTAAACAAATGCAACATAAAAGAATGCAACACATCTTTGCATCATTAAACAAATGCTCCACAGCACAAACAAATGTAACACATCTTAAAATAATATTCTTCGACAGAAGAACAGGGGTCTGCAGGAGTGAGAGGCAAATTAGAGAGGGTAATGGAGGGCACATATGATCACAGTAGACTGCATACATGTGTGAAACTGTCAAAAATAAAGACAGAATGCTTTGCATTAAACAAGAGGCAGTGTAAAGATGGTCTTCTTCTCCCAAGCTGGACCTGAGTAACATCACTGAAGAGACTCACCTCAGGGCATGTCTGTGAGGGTGTTTCTAGGTCTTAAGTGAAGATGGAAGACCTTGAATGTGGGCAGCACCATCCCATGAGCTGGGCCCTGGACTAAATAAAAAGGAGAAAGTGAGCTGAGCACCAGGGTCCCCCACTTCCTGACTGAGTCCTATGTGGCCAGCTTACCTCCTTCTGCCCTGGCTTCCTGACCACAGCCAACTGTATCCCTCGAACTATGAGCCACAGTAAGCTATTCCTTCAACTACTGCAAATGGCTTTCTGATGGTTTATGGGAAAGGAATTTAAAATGTAGGCAGAAAAGCTTTACTTTTTGCTTTGATTATCTAATTTTCCTTTGTCTCTACCTGCATTTAACACACTAATAAAGAGTTCATGTGTGATTTAGTGGTAACCCAGGTCTTTAATGTTGTATTTGGGTTTATTACTATTTAGAGAACTCAGTAGCACCTGTAATTTCATTTAATTATTTATCAACATCTTGGAAGCTTGCCTCACACCAGAGTATGATTCTGATGGTCATAAAAGTGTGTAAATCAATCTATAGCTTTAAAGTGATACACTGCAGAGGACTTTTACTTTAGTTAATTGGCTACCCAATAGCAAGACATCATTCTGAAAGGCCACAAAAATGATGCCTAGATTATAATTAGATTTGTGTAACCAATATCATTTTCAAGGACTAGATATGTTCCGGTAAATTTTGCTCAAGGCAGAAACCACTTTCTGATCAATAAATTGTCTCATCATAGGAACAGAGGTGCATTCCCAAGGAGAAACCCCCAGAAGAGAAAACATTTGCTCACTGAAGGGGTTACATTCCTTAGCTCTAAGGTGCTATGGATGTGTGGCTGACACACAGAATGTGAAAGCAAGTGATTGTGGTTTGGGAGGTAGGAAAGTGAGGATGAGGGACAAGGAACAGGACTGGAGAGATGGCTCAGCAGTTCAGAGCCCTGACTTCTCTTCCAGAGGGCCTGGCTTCAGTTCCCAGCACCCACATTGGGGCTCACAAGTGCCTGTAACCCCAGTTCCAGGATATTTGACGCCTTCTTCTGGCATCTGTGGGTACTGCATGCATGTGGTGCACATGCCCACACAAATAATAAGTATTTTTTTAAAAAAAGAACAGAACCAGGAGCAGACTAAATAGGGCGTAACTGAAACTCCCAGTGATGTTTTCTCTCTCACTGTTAGAATAACAGTTTGTCCTTTACCACAACTCACAAGGACTCTGTTTTTAAATAAAGAAATTATCACCTAACCAAGCTGATTCTCTCTTATACAATTAAAAATTATTTATTTTATGTGTGTGAGTGTTTCCCCTGCCTGTGTGTATGTGCACCGTGTGTGTGCCTGGTACCACAGGAGCTTCGCAGGTGCCGCTCATCGCCTGGCACGCCCCTCCTGGTGCTCCCGCGGCTGCTGTCCTGTCCTTCTCATTCTTGCTGGCATGCCACTGTTTTTCCAGCCGCTCACCTGCCGCTGCCTCTTGTCTCCTCCTGTTTCCTTTCACTCACCCACGTGTGAAAGCGTGTTGTCTGCTCATCTGCTCTCTTTGGTCTCCTGGTGTGATCTCCAGAGAGACCTTTCTCATGTATACCACACTCATAGCCTCCCACAGGGTGCCCAGAACTTTTGAAGCCGTCACGAAATAGTTATTACATGGTTGGATGTAATTAATAACTCGAGCTATTATGTGGTCCTTTTTGATTGCTCCCTACGGATAAGTGTGCTAAGTTTTTGATATTATTTATCAGAGAAGATCTTGTTGGTCATTCTAGTGTCAGTCTGAGGAAAACAAACAAACAAACAAACAAACAAACAAACAAACAAACCTGGTCCATGCAGGACCTTCAGACGGCTGCACCCATCTCAAGTTCCAGGAGTGAGGCATCAGGCAGTCACATGCTTTTTAAAAATTATTCTTATTTTACTGGAAATCGATAGTTATAACTTCTGGTGAGAATCAGAGGGCCCCTTGCAGGCTGGTGAAATTCTAAGTTACCAAGGCATAAAAACTAAATTTATATTTGTTTTGCTCACTTACAAGAGTGTCAGTGCCCATTTAAAAAACAATGATTAATGACATAGCTTTTAATTAATTAATTAGTTATTTGTGGAACTGAGGATGGAATATTGAGCCTTTCACATGCTAGGTAAGCAATCTCCCACAAAGCTCCACCCCAGCCCTTGGTTACAGTTTGAATTATGAAGACAGTGGATACCTTTTGTTTTCTCCAGAAATTCTCTTTATTGAAGCATTATTTACTTGTTTTTCTTCTGACAAACTCTCGCTGGATTTTCCTGACTCAGCTGCTCCAAGTTGCTGCATCCCAGGGGGTCTGCCACTTCCAGGCAGCTCCTGCATGTGCTAATGTCTCTCCCCACTTCTCCCTCCACCCCCCCCCCCCAGGAGTACATTGCTAAGAACTTCTGCATCATGCAGTCCCAGATTGGCTATGATATTTTGGCAGAAGACACGATCACAGCCTTGTTACACAACAACCGCAAACTCCTGGAGAAGCACATCACAGCAAAGGAAATCGAGACCTTCGTCAGCCTGCTCAGGAGGAACCGCGAGCCGAGGTCTGCTCTGGCTGGATTGGGGGCCATAGCCAAGCTCTGCTCTGTCAGGGATGGAAGAGTATCTTTGTTTTTTATTAAGTTTACAAAGTTGAGCACTTATTGTAGCACTGACTGTTGACGGGCAGACGATGCATTTATTTCTGTGATAATGGTGTGTGTTAACTACTTCTGCTTTTTAGGTGATGGGAGCCCTTTGGAGACACTGTTGACATGTCTTTCTGGTGCTGGGGAAATCTAACCTAAGGCTTACACATGCCAGGGAAGTGATTGGCTGCTGCACTGCCCCCCAGCACCAGACTTACATTTAAATGCACTCATTTACTTCTATATGGCCTTTCAAAATATATTCATGTATTTCACACCTGTAATCCCAGCTGCTCAGAAGTCTGAGACAGGAGGATTACAAGACTAGGAATTGGGTTACAACAGCGAGTTTAAGGAAATCTTGGGTAACTTAGTAGGGCCCTGTAGCAAAATAAATTTATAAAACAGTTGAGGAGTTAACCCAGTGGGAGACTGTGAGGCTCAAGGTTTAGTTCCCAGCGCTGCAAAAGGAAGCCACAGAAAACCCAGAATGTGTTCCCATAGACTCACCCAGGGGCCAGCTGTGGGCCACGTGTGTCCTAGGAGAGCTTTGGATGATGATCAGCTCATTTATGGGCCATGGCACCATGTTGTGGTGTCAAAAAGTTGGGCACTTCTGATGGGCGCCTCATTTAAATATTATGTAGCTCCTTCTCATGAGGTAAGTGTTGTGCATTGTTATCTAGATTTTAATAAAATTAACTGAATGACTTACTATCTATTTCTTTTTTGCTACTGGGAATTGAACCGAGGGCCTCTGACAACTGTAGGCCAAGCTGGCCTGGAGCTTACTATGTAGCCCAGGTTGACCTTCCCCTTGAGGCAATCCTCCTGCCTCAGACTCCCAAGTGCTGGGATGACACAAGTGACCACTACACTTGGGGGCTACTGAGCTTTTACCCGCACTCTGGGAAGGAGAAGATGAAGGACAAGCCACATGCTGGTGAGCACCCCGGTCAGGAAGGGGGTGCCAGGCCTGAGGGTTTGTGGTCTCTTCTCACTCTGTGCTGCCTTAGCTGGGAGCAGTGCGTGTGGAGCAGCCAAGAACGCCCACTGTGCTTTCGCTGCTGAATCCTATAGCAGTAAATGTCAGCAGGCGGACGGGCCTCTCCCCAAGTGTGCGTCCTAACCCTGTTACATACTCACTTGGTTTTGCTTTTTTGTTGATACTTGGGTTTGGAGACACTCACTTGAGGGAAGATAAATGATTTTCCTAACATGAGTCATTGTGCTAATGGATGAACATAATCTAAAAAACAGAAGTCAACATACCCATTCTACACAAGGCTTACATGTAATAGAAAGAATTGTTTAATTTGCTTTTAATGATGCAGTAGATGAACAGCACACAGATAAACACTGCATTGAAACAATATTAAAACAGCATCAAAACAAGCTTCTTTTATTAAATTCCAAATTATGTTTTTGTTGTGATGATTTTATTAAAATGCTTTGTTGGGCTGGCGAGATGGTGCAGTAGGTGAAAGCATTTGCCAATGGAGGCTGATGGCCCAACTTCAGTGCCCAGATCTCCAGGAGAAGAGCTGGGTGCGGGGACACTTGGCTCACGTCTGTGATCTGGCACTGCACAGTGAGATGGAGGTGGAGGCGGGACAGTCGGCCAGAAGTCTGTGGACTGGTCAGCACGGTGCAGCAGAAGCAAGAGACCTTGCCTCAAGGTGGAAGGACAGAGCTGACTGCTGAAAGTTGTCCTCTGACCTCCGCACACGCCATGGCTTGCCAGAGCCCATGTCTGGCCATGCACACACTTTAATAATTAAACGTTTTTTTTTTAAATTAGTGAGTGGATACACTCTAGACACTTTGTTTACAATAGTGAAATTGTTGAAGAATCACTAAAAGATATTCTGTTAAATATAAAAATAAAATGCTTTTTCTTCATGTTCACTTTTCTCTTCCTAGGTTTCTAGACTATTTGTCTGATCTCTGTGTGTCCAACAGCACTGCCATCCCCATCACTCAGGAACTCATCTGCAAATTCATGCTGAGTCCTGGCAATGCGGACATCCTCATTCAGACAAAGTAAGCTGCCCCATGGAGGTGTCTTGGAATATCCCTCACTGTATGTGTGCTTCTTAATAGATTTTGTGTGTCATTGGTTTCAAGGCTGGTGTCCATGCAAGTGGAAAACCCCATGGAGAGCTCCATCCTTCCTGATGACATTGATGATGAGGAAGTTTGGCTTTACTGGATTGACAGCAACAAGGAGCCTCATGGCAAGGCCATCAGGCACCTGGCCCAGGAAGCCAAGGAAGGCACCAAAGCTGACCTAGAAGTTCTTACTTACTACAGGTACTGGGGCACTCACACTCCACAGCGAATATTCACTGGGAGCCGATTCTTGAAAACTTCTAAGAATTAGAGATACAGTCAGAGGGCATTTAAAACTCAGAGAGGGGAGCTGAAATGGTCAGGACCACCTTAAGATCTCAAAATGAAAGCTAATGTATGTGTATTCTGCTTGCATTCTCTGATGAGCTTGGGACTTTTGTCAGTAATGCGTTTCTTCCTGTTACTGATGGGACCTAGGGGCGGATGAGCAGCAATGAGACCTTGACTGTGGACTGAGGGGGAAGAGGAACTGGGGAGATAGATCTGGTTGCAGGGGTGGCCTCACAAGAAGTGGCAGTGGGTTAAGAGGGGATCTTGTGAGCATGTGCACTTTGGGGCTGGAGAGGTGGAGGTGTCTGTAGTTCTGAAAGGTCACCTGTGTTCACCAGCAAGAACAGGAGAGGTGGTTCCCAGGGGTCAGTATGTTGGGATCAATAATCTAACTGGGGGGCTGGCAAGATGGCTCAGTGGGTAGAAATGTTTGTCATGCAAATCTGACAACCTGAATTTGATCCCTGGAACTAATGGGGGAAGGGGAACCAACTCTGACCTCCACACGGTGATGGGTGATGTGTGGTGTGTGGATGCCCTCCTTCCCCCTCAAAGAGAAAAAAAACCAACAACAGTTAAAAAGACCTAACTGGCTCTGAATTTAAGAGATAAAACCCAAGGCAGAAGCTCTCGAGACAGGTTGATGGGAATCAGGGAAGGGTGCAGAACACCTGGAGTCTACTGGCTTTTATCTCTCAAAAGCAAACTGACGCTGCACCCTTAATCTTAGAGGCTGGAGAACCCTGTAGTGGCGCCATTGGGACCGATCCTGTTTGCTCTGTGAACCAGGCGGGGACAAAGTCAGTGTAGATGCTGGGGGGTCCCCACCCTCACCCCAGCAGAGGCTGGGAAGGTGGAGAGAGGTGTCTTCCTGTGACTCATTGTCCATTCCAGGTTTGGTGCACTTGATGTTAGGACTGAGGTCCTGGCCGTGAGAGGAGCCTTAGTGACAGGGACAGAGCGTTAGACCTCTGCTGTCATTGGTTCAGTATGGAAGAGTTTGGCTCAGTGTTGTAAGTGCTGATGAACACATGTGCACAGCCAGCAGATGGCTTGCCTTGTTGTTTAGGGCCTTGATGGAGGCAAGAGGAATAATGTAACACATCTCATACTTTCAGGTACCAACTAAACCTCTTCGCGAGGATGTGTTTGGACCGCCAGTATCTGGCCATCAACCAGATTTCAACACAGCTGTCTGTAGACCTGATCCTTCGCTGTGTGTCTGATGAGAGCCTGCCCTTTGACCTCCGAGCTTCTTTCTGTCGACTCATGCTCCACATGCACGTTGACCGGGACCCCCAGGAGTCTGTGGTGCCTGTTCGCTATGCCCGGCTCTGGACCGAAATCCCCACAAAGATCACGATTCATGAGTATGTTTGGAAACTGTATGTCTTAGTTAGGGTTACTATTTTTTTAAAGTAATTTATTTATTTTATGTTATGTGCATTAGTGTTTTGACTGCAAGTATGCCTGTGTGAGGGTGTCAGACCTTGGAGTTACAAATAGTTGTGAGCTGCCATGTGGGTGCTGGGAATTGAACCCAGGTCCTCTAGAAGAGCAATCAGTGCTCTTAACCACTGAGCCATCTCTCCAGCCCCAGTTAGGGTTACTACTGCTGTGATGACATGACCAAAGTAACGTGGGGAGGGAAGGGTTTATTTGGCTTTTGCTTCTACATCATCTTCATCATTGAAGAAAATCAGGCAGGACAGGAACTCAAGCAGAGCAGGAAACCTGGAGGCGGAAGCTGATGCAGAGGCCATGGAGGGGAGCTGCTTCCTGGCGTGTTCCCCATGACTTGTTCAGCCTGATTTCTTAAAGACCGCAGGACCACCTGCCCAGGGTTGGCACCACCCACAATGGCCAGCCCCCCCACCCCCATTAATCACTAAATAAGAAAATGCCCTATAGTATAGTCTTGCCTACAGAAGGATCTTATGGAGACATTTTCTCAATTGAGGGCCCCTCCTCTCTGATGACTCTAGCTTGTGTCAAGTTGACAGAAAACTATCCAGTACATCGTATTCATTACTTTTTCATAGCTGATGAGAAACAGCAACAGAGGAAAAGATTTATTGCAGTTCACAGTTCGAGGGAGCAGTCCATGATGACAGAGAAAACTGCCAGGACCTCGGGGCAGCGTCACCTTGAATATTCACTCAGGAGGCAGAGATCTCACTTCTCATTTTTTTCTCTCTTTATTCAGTAATGGTCTCCACACTCAAAGTGGGCCTTTCCTCTTCCGTTAATTGATTCTGGAAACATCCTCACAGATGTGCCCAGAGGTATGTTTTCTAGAGGATTTGAGGTCCTGCCACATTGACAGTGAAGATGAGCTGTTACAGACGCATTTCTCAGGACGTTTAAATTCAGTAGATGAAAACAAAGTCAAGTGCCTTCAACTTTAAAATGAAAAACACAGGAAGGGATTTGTACATGTTCTGTTCATGCTGTTCATGTGGGAAGAGTCAGTAAGATATCCTGATGTGGGATGTCCTTCTGTATGCTGTGAATATGTGTTGTTCCCACTGGTTAATAAATAAAGCTACTTTGGCCTATGGCAAGGCAGGATAGTGGGAAATCCAAGCAGAGATAGAGGGAGAAGAAGGGCGGAGTCAGGACAGACAATATCCAGCTGCCCAAGGATCAAGATGCCAGCAGACCAGTAATGCCACAGCCACATGGCAAAATATAGATTAATAGAAATGGGTTCATTTAAGATGTAAGTGCTAGCTAGTAATAAGCCTAAGCCATCGGCCAAAGTAGCTTTATTTCTTAACCAATGGGAAGCAACACATATTCACAGCGTACAGAAAGACATTCCACATCAATACCCCCCCCTGCCCCCACTGCGGGGCAACATGATAGCTCTCTAGCAGGAAACATGTTTCTGGAAGCTAGTAAACAAATAACTATAACAGTCACAGCTTGCTGAGTGTGTGGTGACTGGCAGGCTGCACCTTGCTTGTTCCATCTCAGTTTGCAATGGCCTGTGTCGCAGATGCAATGTGTACCCCAAGAGGTTGACTGACGTGTCCAAGGCAATGCACTCTGGGAGTCAAATAACACCCTACTTCTCGGTGTTTCTCATCAGCTTAACTTGCTCTTGTGTTATCTGTCCAGGTATGACTCTACCACAGACTCTTCCAGAAATGACATGAAGAGGAAATTTGCCCTCACGATGGAATTTGTTGAAGAATATTTGAAAGAAGTTGTAAATCAGCCATTTCCCTTTGGAGACAAAGAGAAAAATAAGCTGACATTTGAGGTATTTAAAAAAATTTCAATTTATTTTCTTGGTGCCTGTTGCCCACAGTGGTCAGAAGAGGGTGTCAAATCCCCTGAACCGATGACTGAGAGCCGTGCTGGCGCTGAGAACCAAGTCCAGGTCCCCGGGAAGAACAGCAAATGCTCCCAACCACTGGGCCCCTCCAGCCCCACTTGAGGCATTTCAGCTGCTCATGGCACGATTGTGTGTTCTTGTCAGAAATCAGATTCATTGAGCATCGTAGATTTTCCTCTCCTCTAATATTCAGGGTGTCTGGGCAGTTGAGTTGTTAGGTTCAGGCAGATGTAATTCCATCTGAGGATGATAAAAATAAAGATTTGGGATTTTAAACTTTAATCTCATTCATTAACTTACTTTTGAAACCATGCATGATGTGTAGAAATACAGTTCACATGTTAATTAGCAACAATCAAGTGATGTGATACATTTTGAAACAAGAGAAAAGAGAAAAACTTCAGGTTACAGAGCCCCCTGACAAATTTGAAAAAAAAAATCACCTTTTCTAAGTAGATTAGTGTGACAAATGTACTCAGTGGTTAGTAATGCTTTTCCCTATCATATTAATGCTCAATAGGATTACAAATAAAAGCCCATTCATTTTAATTACTATTATGCCTTGATAATTAAAAGGTTCTATCTCAATTATCAATTAATTAAAGCTTTTCTTGTTTATTTTTTCATATATGTAAATTTTGTTACATTTGATAAACAGTGACAGTTTAGAATACTTTAGATGCCCCTTTCCCATCTTCATGGAAACGATGAGTTAGCCTCATTGAGCTGAACTGAAATCTGAAGATACTGTAACAAAACTAGACAGAGGGCGCTGTCACATCTTACCTGGTGCATTAGTTATCTACAGTCACGAGACACATCACCCCCAGTGTGGCAGCCCAAAGGAAAGAGCATTTCTGGAGTCCCCAGCCTGGGTGTGGAGTGCTGGTGTCTGGTGTCTGTTCAGTCCCTGCTGGAAGTGCTGTTTCTGCCTCACTCAGGTGGATGGTGGTGGCCCTGCTTCTGTGCTGGCTTGTCACCACACACCTCAGCTGTTTGCCACATGGCTTTTCTGTGGGCTGAGTGTCCTGTGACACAGTGCCTGGCTTCCCACAGAGTGAGAGCAAGAGAAGGAGAGAGGGAGAGGGAGAGGGGGAGGGAGAGGGAAGGGGAAATAGAGGGGGAGAGAGAGAAAGAAGGGGAAATAGAGAGAGTGAGAAGGAGAGGGAGGGAGGGAGGGAGGAAGAGCACTTACATACGGTGTTCCATCGTCCAACCTTGGCTGACCTTGGTTTCTGCTGTGTCACACACCGATCTGACACATTGTAGGAGAACAGCCTACATTGGAGCCATGTCTTGGAGGCTGCATCTCACCCTTGTTATTTCCTGTAATACCAAGAAGGCCACAGGCCAGGCTAGGGGACATAAAATTCTGGGCCAATGTATGGCTCATATTTATTAAAGTAATTTAACCACTGATTAAGTGGTATCCTCCGGACTTGCATTTAATTAAGTAGTAGATATTGTAGCATAAGCTCCTTAAATCACCTTAAAGTCTCTTATGAATTGATCCTAGATTTGGATCAGCCACAATCTGAACAGTGGCTTTTACAGGGACTTTAATTCCTAGGTGTTGAAGAATTAGGGACTTAGAAACGGGGAGCCACTTTAGATGTAGAAGTTGCACATGTTTGTCCCGTCTTCTGATGCCCTCTGTTCTCCGCTCTGCTGACGAAGGTGGTCCACCTGGCCCGGAACCTGATCTACTTCGGGTTCTACAGCTTCAGCGAGTTGCTGCGCCTGACAAGAACCCTGCTGTCTATCCTCGACATCGTCCAGGCCCCCACGTCATCGTACTTCGAGAGACTGAGCAAATTTCAAGATGGAAGTAAGAACTTTTGAGGAATGTGAAAATGTTTTGTTATTAAGCAGAACTGAGATAAAAACCAAACATATAGCGAAGTAGATATATTTTTTTTTTTTCCCGAGACAGGGTTTCTCTGTGCAGTTTTGTGCCTTTCCTGGAACTCACTTGGTAGACCAGGCTGGCCTCGAACTCACAGAGATCCGCCTGCCTCTGCCTCCCGAGTGCTGGGACTAAAGGTGTGTGCCACCACCGCCCAGCGCGAAGTAGATTTTTAACACGTGTGTGCAATCAATACAGGCACTGACTCTTGATGGGGCTACATGATAACAGGGTGGGCATTCAAGAAACTTCCTCTAATAATAATATGTGGGGTTTGGTGTGTGTGTGTGTGTGTGTGTGTGTGTGTGTGTGTGTGTGTGTGTGTGTGTAGTATGTGTGCACATGTGTATGGGCACACATGTACTGGTGAGTATAAACGTGTGTATATGCATGTACAGGCCTGAAGTTGACTTCAGTCATGTGTCTGTTTTGACTGCTGTCCACTGTATTAATTGAGGCAGCATTTCCTGGTGAACCCAGAGCGCACTCATCCTGGCTACTCTGGGTATTGCCCTAGGGAGCCCCTTGTCTCTGCTTCTGGAGTTTGGGGGCCACAGGCAGCTACCATGCCTGCTTGGCTTTGACATGGGTTCTGGGGATCTGAACCATCAGACTTCCAGTAGTGTCTACATCATAATCATGCTTTTTTTTTTTGTAATGGTGATTACATTAGGTTGAAAAGCACTCCAAGATAGGAAGTTGTTTCTAAGAGTTATAGGGAAGTGTGCTTGCTAGTCATATCCCTGTGAGGATGTGAGTGCAGTTGAGCGGATTTGCAGTGCAGTTAGAACTGAGACCTCAGCTCAGCACATGGAGGTTCTGAGCTGGGGTGGCTCTTTGGATTTGTCACACATAGATACAAGAGGGTCAAATATATCTTTGCAGCAGCAGCAGCAGTCATCCATTAGCTTCTGGCTTCATTGTGGAAGAAGATGTGTGACATGGGGAAGCTGGGGTTCCCTGCCCAGGACTATGACATGGGGAAGCTGGGGTTCCCTGCCCAGGACTATGACATGGGGAAGGTGGGGTTCCCTGCCCAGGACTATGACATGGGGAACTGGGATTCCCTGCCCAGGACTATGACATGGGGAAGCTGGGATTCCCTGCCCAGGACTATGGCATGGGGAAGCTGGGGTTCCCTGCCCAGGAGTCATGGTGAATGGGAGACACGGTGCTGATGCTAGCAGCCGGGGGAAGCCAGACTGGAGAAGGGATTTTGCACAGAGCACAGCAATGGCCACTGCAGTACCCAGGACAGGATGGAAAAGGAAACATCAGATTTCCAAGTTCAGGCATGAAGAGGGACTGTCTGATCAGGAATTTCAAATGAGGCCCTTACATAAAAGCTAAAAGAACGAATTGCTGTTACCCCAATTTCAGTCTCTTTAACACAGCACAGAAAACCACTTAAACCCCTCACCTTCAGTGCAGCCTGAGTCCTGAGCACAGCAAAGACTGAGTTACTGCAGCAGAAACAAGCGTGGATAGTCTGGACAGTTACCTTGGGAGCCCCAATTACAAGAACCTCTGGGAAAAATTTTATGTAGTTTTTCCTAGGGATATGATCACATGTCTCTTTACTTCAGAAAGGGTACTGATGACAGACCAAAGGGATAATTCTACCCAGATCTAGCTTAGAGAACCAGTGAGTTACTGAGTTATTTACAGGAGTATGTGTAACTCAAAGCCAGTGCCATCACTGAAGCCTGCCCATCATGGGCAGCTGGGGCAAGCTCACCCCTGAAGTTCCCTTACAGTTTCCTGGCAGCCAGGCAGAATGGAGCCTCCTCTCCCCAGCAATTGCTTATTGCATTTATAACCTTGATGAGGGGACTTATGGATTATGTAAAGTTTCAGGAACTTCCTGAGTCTTGTGTGTTTCATTTACTTCTTTTGCCTTATGAGTTTTACTCCTCTCTCTAGGAGAGTGTTTCAATTTGGGAGAAGTAGCCACAAACTGTGAATGTCTCCATAGGCTCAAGTGTTTGAACACTGTAATCACAGCTGGTGTATTGTTTTGGAAGGCTGTGGAATCTCCAGGAAGCAGAGTCTTGTTGAAGGAAGTGGGTCACTAGGAGTGAACACTTACATGTATGGCCTGGTCCCACTCTCTGTCCATGGCGATGTGAGGAGTCTCTGCATCATCTTCCTACCTCCATATCTTCCCCACCATGACAGGCTGTGCCTCCTCAAACTGGGAGCCAGAAAAAGCCTTTCCTCCATTAAGTTGTTCTTCTCAAGTATTCTGTCACACTGGAAGAGAATAAAAGGGGTTGTGTGATAATCACCCTCAGAAAGTTGAAATACTGAGAGAGTCCAGTAGATGAGAACGCATGGAGAGGAAGGGATCTAAAAGATCACAAGTGGTAGCTTGGGAGCTTCTAGAATGAGCAAGGCTGGAAGTGGGGGAGAGGAGACACACCCCTGAGTCTTGTGTGCAGAGGGAACCAAGACTATGTGAGCCTGAGCATCCTCACGAGGTAAAGCCAAGAAAGAGAAGGACCTGCGTCTGTGCCGCCACCAGAGACACTTGAGAGAAACGTGCTGTAGCAGCCGCTGAGTGAGACAGGCTTCCATTTCCGGGTGCCTGCGGCAGCTGAGCATGCAGAGAGGAGGTGGGCACCAAGTCCCACTCCAAGCCGAGAAGCCTTTGGTCACCGATAGCTGCTGGGAGAGGGAAAATCATTTTCTTTGAGGATGTGGCCCCTGCTAAGTTATCCATGCTCTAGTGGATGGTCCCACACTCAAGTGTATGGGAGTGGTACGAATTGTACTCAATGTGTTAAAAAAAAGGACATGAAATTGAGTGTGGAGGGTGGATCCAGTAGAAATTATGGGAGAAGGAGAATATGACAAAAAATATTATACAAAATTCTCAAAGAACTAAAAAACAAACCAAACAAACCAAAAAACCCCCAAATAACAACCACCAAAGCCAGTAAAGAAAAAGAATTCTCTTGGAGACAGGGGAGCTGGCCACATGTACAGGACATTCTCATCCTCACACTCATCAGTCTAATGCTGTTTATTTACTGTGTTGTCAGTCAGGGAAGGAGATACTGTTTTCAAGCAAGGGCATTGACTCTTAGCCATTTGCTTAGCCTTATACCATCATTCCCTCTCTGTGATTTAAGAGCAATGGCTGTGTAATGGATCTTTTGGATTGAAGAACTTTTTTTTCGGGAGGAACTTTTTTTTTTTGTCACACACAGAAGTGACAAAAAGCACATGGACATAATGGCCGACAAATGGGATGTCTGGGGTATTATTTGCAAGTAGAACCTTCATTAAATTATATAATTGTTTTCTTTTTATACCAAAGGAAGTACAGTCCAAAGGAAAAAGATTTTGCTTTTTCTTTTTTCATGTATATATGTGGTGTGTGTTTCCATGTGTGTGTGCATGTGTGTATATGAGGTACGTGTGTTTGCATGTGTGCATGTGTGTGTGTGGTGTATGTGTATGTGATGTGTGTGCATTCCTGTGTGTGGGTGTACATGCTTGTGCTCATGTATGTGCATGTGTGTGTGCACATCTGTGGGTGTGCAGCATGTGGAAGCCCAAGGTTGATGTCAGGAACCACCCTCCATCGCTCTTCTACCATATTCCTTGAAGCAGGGCATCTCAACCAAACCCAGAGCTGATCGGTGTGGCTATGGATGGTCTCACTAGCTGGCTTGCTCTGCAGTTCTCTGCCTTCTGAGAGGGAGTTACACGTGACTTCTAAGTATTTGATCTTGGGTCCTCATACTTCTGCGGCAAGCACTTTAACCACTAAGCCGTCTTTTCAGACCCAGATTTTACTTTTTACTGATGCTAATAATAAAGGTTACATACAACTGTGACTCTAACCTGCCCCATTCTTCTCCTCCTCCTCTTTTTCTTCCTCCTCCACATACACACGTACTGTGCTGAGACCAAACCCACTCCCTCCTTCCCTTCCCTCCAGCTCCTCACCTGTCTCCCTAGTTTATCTCTTCCAACTTGATGTGTTCTCTCTCTTATTTTGTTTGAGTTTTTAACATCATTTTTTAATTAAACATTTAAAATTACATTACCCCACTCTTCCCTTTCCTTCTTCCGATCCTTCCCCCACACCCCTACTTTTCTCCTCAAATTGATAGCTTCTTTTTCTTTTATTATTATTGTTATACACACACACAAATGCATACATTACAAATACAACCAGCTGAATCTATTTGAGTGTCTTTGATATATATGATTTGAGGGTTGACCACTTGGCTGTTAGATAACCAATTAGAGTGCTCATTCCCCAAGAGAAGCTAAATTATTCCTCCCTCAGTGGTCATTAGTTGCCTGTAGTTCTTTGTTTAGGAGTTGGACCCTGTGTGATCTCCTTCTTTGTTAGTATGTCTATTGATAATGCCACTGTTCAGGTCTTGTTTAAGAAGCCATATTGTTGAGGTATCAACAATATGTAGCTTCCTTGTCATTTCTAAGAGACACAATTTCACAACAGACTTCCTGGTCCTCTGGCTCTTAAAATCTTCCTGCTCCCCTCTTCCAAGATATTCCCTAAGCCTTAAGTTCAGGAGTTGTATTGTAGATGTATCCACCAGAGCTGACACCCCACAATCGGTTGGTGTTTGCAATGTGACCAGTTGTGGTTTTCTGTAATGGTCTCTGCTGCAAGGAGAGGTTTCTTGGATGTGGGATGAGACCTACACTTATCTGTGGGTATAAAATGTTTTAGACGGCAGTGAGAAATCATGCTGGTCTAATAAAGTGGCAGTGGTAGGCTTTCCTCTAAAATCCATGATGTCATTAGGTCTGGGTAGTTGGCTAGGCTTCTTGTACCAGGCATGGTTTCACTCCCATTGAGCAGTCCAATTAGATAGCTGTTGGTTACCTCCAAGATATGAACGCCATTATTATATCTTTAGAGATTGTCTTACTTTTCT